GGTTCTTGCAAATATTCTTTGATTGCATCAAATGCCCCTTGGCATTCATCATTCCACACAACCGGCTGATCTTTCCTGAGTAACTTAAAGATTGGCTTGCAAGTGGCTGTGAGATGTGAAATAAATCTTGCGATATAATTCAACCTCCCTAGAAATCCACGGACCTCCTTTTCGGTCTTTGGGGCAGGCATGTCCTGAATCGCCCTTACTTTATCAGGATCCACTTCAATCCCTTTCTGGCTTACGATAAAGCCCAACAACTTTCCAGACCGCACCCTGAACGTACATTTGTTGGGATTAAGTCTCAACTTGAACTTCCTCAGTCTGGTGAACAACTTTTCCAAATTAACCAAATGTTCATCTTCAGTCTGGGACTTACCAATCATGTCGTCAACGTACACTTCGATCTCTTTATGAATCATATCATGAAAGAGTGTTACCATTCCACGTTGGTACGTTACCTCAACGTTCTTCAACCCGAATGGCATTACCTTGTAACAGAATGTGCCCCATGGTGTAATGAACGTGGTCTTTTCCATGTCATCTGGATCCATCTTAATTTGATTGTAACCAGAGAATCCATCCATGAAGGAAAAAATGGAGAACTGAGCCATATTATCTACCAACACATCAATATGAGGCAATGGAAAATCATCTTTAGGACTTGCTCTGTTTAAGTCGCGGTAATCCACACACATACGGACCTTTCCATCCTTCTTCGGCACTGGAACGATATTTGCAACCCATTGCTGATATTTGGCCACTGCTAAAAACCCTGCATCGAATTGTTTTCGGACTTCATCACGGATTTTCAGAGCCATATCAGGTCGGGTTCTTCTCAACTTCTGCTTGACGGCATGACACTCTTCTTTGAGTGGCAACTTGTGTACAATGATGCTCGTATCTAGACCAGGCATGTCCTGATACGACCATGCGAACACATCAGCATATTCTCGAAGGAGCCCTACCAACTTTACCTTGACAGTATCCTGAAGAGACGCGCCAACCCTTATCTCTCTTTTATTTTCTTCTGAACCTAGGTTGATAATTTCGACATCCTCTTTATGCGGCATAATGACCTTCTCTTCTTGCTGCAGCAACCTAGCCAATTCGTTGGGGAGCTCATCCTCGTCTTCCTCATACGCTCGATATATTGGACAATCAAAATCATAAAGGCCTATAGCAGTGTCGATATCAAGGACCTCGGTAGTGTCTCTGCATGTTTATGATTTATGCAGCTTATTTAGGAAAGTGAGTGCGTGAAAGAAATTCCATTAATTATGAAAAAGTAGAAAATAAAATGAGCAAAAGAATTGAATGCAAATCAAAATTTATTCACGTTAAACATGTTTCGAAACATCAGGAGGCCCGATACAAAGCTCCACTACGCCTTGGGAAGAGCGTAGGGTTTTGAAAATTAATTAAAACTTTACTTTTGAAGAGGGAAGAATTGGGGTATTTCGATGGTCTTCCAGTCCTTCAATTCTTCACCAGGTTCAGCCTGTCGGATCCAGCTTGCGGAGACTTCTTTGTCATCAGCCTCATCTTCAATTACCATGGCAGAGGTATGATCGAAGATATGCCCGGCGCTCTTGAAAATTTCTGCTACAGGAGGAATCTCCTTCCTGCCACGTGCAACCATTGTTGTGTTGGACGAAGGATGGTATCCTAGCCCAAATTTGTCGAACTTTTCAGCCACTTCCACCATTTTGCCCCAGCCGTGGGCGTTCCCTTCATCTACAACCATCTTAGCCTCTTCATAGGAGGCCATTGCTGATCTTGAACTCTGACAATCTGAAATTCGCTGCACTGCTAATGTATTCACCATTTCGAAAGACTGAAAAGGCGTTTCCACCATTTCCCCTTCAACTTCAATGTACCTGAAGGACATTAAGTGGCTAACCAAGATATCCTCCTCTCCTCCAATCTGAACTACTTTGTCATTACTGACAAATTTTAGCTTCTGGTGAAGGGTGGAGGTAACAGCTCCTGCATAATGAATCCAAGGTCTTCCTAATAGACAGCTGTACCCTGGATAAATATCCATTACTTGGAAAGTAATAATGAAGACAGTTGGCCCGATTTTTATTGGCAAGTCCACATCGCCAATCACAGCACGCCTAGAACCATCAAAAGCTTTGACTACTAGAGCACTTGGCTTCATGCTAACTCCTTTTACTGGCATTCTCTCCAGGGTGACCTTGGGAAGCACATTCAAAGAAGAACCTGTATCCACTAAGACTCGGGATATCAATGTGTCTTGGCACTTGATAGAAATATGGAGAGCTTTATTGTGGTTTCTCTTCTCTGCAGTCAAGTCATCATCATTAAACCCAAGAAAGTTTTCGGTTGTCACGCTAGCTATCACATCATCGAACTGGGCTACGGTGATATCTTTAGCAATATGCGCGGCGCTCAATACCTTCATTAAAGATAACTTGTGGGCCTCTGAACTAAGTAACAACGAGAGCATGGAAATTCTGGCTGGAGTCTGGTTTAGTTGATCAATCACTTTGTAATCACTTTTTCTAATGATCTTCAAAAACTCCTCAGCTTCCTTTGGTGTAACTGCTGCTTTTGGTGATGACACCTCAACAGGTGGCTCAACACTTGGTAGTTCAATTGTAGCTTTTTCTTTACTTCTAGCTAGCACTTCCACTGGTTTGGCGGCAAATAAACGACCGCTACGGGTCATCCTACTAGGCCCCACAACTGCATCGCATTTGGCAGCGTCATACTCAACCACTAGTCTCTCTGGCCTCTGTTTAAAAACTTTGGGCTCAGATTCATTGACAGAATACTCTATTACCACTGGAGCTGGTCGCGCTGCTCTTTGTCTATTGACATCATCTTCATCATATTGCATAATCACGGGTGCTGGTCGGGCGGGCCTCTGTTGAAAGGCTTCCGAAGGATCATACTGTAAGACTACTGGTGTTGGTCGAAGTCGCCTTGTCGGATAAGCACTTGTTTCATCATACTGAATATCAATAGCAAACACGTTCGAATCTCTTTGTTCTATTTGTATTATCCCATGTTCTATGAACCTTTGTAAATGTTTTTTCACCACTTCGTCAGTCAAATTCTCCACTTCATCTTGGGGAATCATCCCACTTCTTTTCAATTGCTCTCCAATAACGGCCATTGGAGTACAGACATCTTCAACATTTGTAATTAGTCTCAAACCACTACTCTCTTACACAACATTGACAGAAGGACCTCCATGTTTAGGTAACGGATCCTTCGTAATATTGGCACCTCTAGGTGTAAAAGTGAGATCTTTGGACTCTATCAAGTCTTGCACCCGATTCTGGAAAGCATAGCAGTTGTCTATGGAGTGTCCAGGGGTTCCTTTATGGAACTCACAATGGGCATTGGCATTGTACCCAGGAGGATATGGAAAAATTGTCGGACGTAAATCTCGCAACGTTAAGTGTCCACTCTGATTTAGCTGAGCAAAAATCTGTCCATATGACATAGGCAACGGGTCGAGTTGTCTTCTTGGCTGTCTTGGCCTTTGCTGTCTCTGAGCCGAAGCATTCTGATATTGCGGTGGAGGAACTCTCTGATAATTCTGTTGTTGATTCTGTTGTTGAGCTGGTTGTTGGTAGGGAGCTTGGGCAACTGCAGCTACTTGTTGATACTGGATATCCACCGGAGCTCTGCCCCTTTGTTCTCTCATCACGGCATTAGCCTCATCTTCTCTTTTCTTTACAGGAGGCTTTCTTCCTCCATTCATTGGGACTACATCCTTGTTCTTTTTCAAAGTGCTCTCGATTCTTTCACCTACTGACACCACTTCAGCAAAGTTAGGGAAACTGGACCCAAGCATGCGGTCCAAGTACTGCGGTTGTAGAGTTCCCATAAACATGTCAGTTAACTCCTTAGTCAGCAATGGTGGTTGAACACGGGCAGCCAACTCTCTCCACCTTTGGGCATATTCTTTAAATGACTCGATGTTACGTTGAGTCATATCTTGCAGCTGCGTGCGATTCGGTGCCAAATCAATATTATACTGATAATGTTGTGAAAACGCATCTGCTAGATCTCTCCACGTGCTGATTTGTCCTTTTTCTAACTGCATATACCATTCCAACGATGCCCCACTGAGGCTATCTTGGAAGTAGTGTGTTAAGATCAAGTCGTTATCAATGTGAGCCGCCATCTTGCGACAGTACGCTCTTAGATGGGTTTTGGGGCAGTGACCCCCTTGTACTTCTCAAAGTCTCGGACTTTGAATTTCTTCGGTATCACCAATCCCGGGACTAGGCACATGTCAACAGCATCCAACCCTGGAGTCTTCTTGATTTCCAATGATTTGATTTTCTCTTCAACAGTTCATAGTCTATCTGCAGCAAGGTCATTAGTAACCCCCATACTGTGTTGAGGGGGAGGTGGTGGAGGTTGGTAAAAAGCATCATATTGTTCATCCATGTCTGCTTCAGAGCCCTGACGCGCGGATATGGAACGGTTGACAAGATCCACGTGAGGAGTCTTAACAACCCCAGAAGTTCCTATATTGTCAACCACCTTCTTGGCATTAGCAAAAGTCTCATTATTGTTTTCTTTTTAGGCTAACGTCAGCATTGTCTCCAGCAGCTGATCCATCTTCATCTTGAGAGCGTCGATGTCACCCCTCATAGTGTTCTGAGTCTCTTCCATTTGTTCAAGCGTCATTTGAAAGTTGCGCCTGGTCTCGTAGCAATGTCGAGTAGTCAGCTTTCAAATACTGAAGGTAGAAAGGAAAAGTCCAATCAGTTGTAATGTCGGGCGAAAGTGCAAAAATGCTTATGTTTACGCTTATGATTATGAGTGTATTTTTTTATTATATTTTTTTTAGGGAAGCATTTATACCAACGGTTATTTATCAATCATTCAAACATCACAAGAACGAAATTAAAAAGACTACTCCTCATTCATTCAAATTGCTCCAACATAAACAGAGTACAATCCGTCCAGGAATATAAATTTGCGAATAAAAAAGAAAAACAAAGAAAACTTCAAGCTTCATTTCTTCGTGCTTCACGCTCCTTGAGCTCTTCCTTGAATCTTGCCAACATTTCCTTGCACACACATATAAACTCATAAATAGCCGGAGCGGTAGAGTCGTCTATGGCTTCCATAGCATCTCGATGTTTCCATATCAGATCTTTGGCCAACCAGTTACAAAATTCCACCAACCCATTTAGTTTGTTGCGGTATGCATCTCGGTTATCCTTCATGATGTGAATGGATTGCTCATATGCCGCAACATCTCGAGCTAACTGGTCTCTTCCGGCAGACCAAATTGCTTGGTCTTCCTTAATAGCTCCTATCTGATTCTCCTGATATTTAATAAATTTCTTGAGCTCATCCAGGTCAATACACATCTTACACCAGTCTTCTGGCTTAACCCAAGATGAGTTTAGGGCTTCTTCCTTGAGTTGACGTTCTCTATCTTCGTCAGCTCTTGATTGACGTAGTGCAGCATCAAGTGTCTTGATTTCTGCTCCTAATGTCTCTCTGATCTCCTTATTCTGTTTAGTGGCTAGAAGGTACCACTGTTCGTTCTCTCGCCATTTTCTATGAGCGTGGTCCAGCTGCTCTTTGAGGGATTCTAAGCAGCTATCAGCCTGGTTGATACATACTTTGGTCCTTTTCCTTTTACCCTTTTCTTCATTAATCTTGCTTCCCATCTCTTCAATTCGCTTATCCTTCCTCTCGATCTCATACCTCATGTGATTCTTTTCATTAGTCACATTTTGAAGCTTGACTTGTAAATCTTTGTTTTCTTTCCCTAGCTGGGCTATCTTGACTCTCATCTCTTCCACTTCTTCGACTGATACAGGTACCGGTTGCGGAGTGGTGAGTTTAGGAGGTGCCTCAATAGAAAAGGGGAGCTTAACTATTTTGACCCTTTCTAGAACCCATTGTCGAAAAGGCATCCTGGTCACACCATCCCTTCTTCTCAAATCTGATCCTTTAGTATGAACTTTCTGCCAAGATCGTACAATCTGACAGAGAAGTGAGGGATCTTTGGCACCTCTCTCATGGAGGATCATTTCTTCTAGTTCTTTGTCTTCAGGCTTCCCTAACATTGGGTACTCAAATTGTCGTATGGCTAGTATAGGGTTATAGCTTATACAACCTTTTGATCCGATCAACGGTACGTTGCAAAAACTACCACAACTCATGATGATTTCACTTACTTCCAACTTGTTTGGGTACCAGGTGATGTTCTTTTCAGAGATAGATGCTAGAAATTGAGCCCATTCCCCACTGTTTAAAGTAGGGACGGCGGCGTGACGTTTGAGTATGTGAGAAGTGAGCCATTTGTAGAGGATAGGGAGACAAAATGTCAACACTGAACCTTTTCTTTCATGGCGAAGGTGTAAAGTGTAGAAAATATCAGCCAAGAGAGGGTGTACCGGGCTTTGCTCCTTCTTCCAAATGGCCCAAAATATGCTGACAGCTGCAGAATCAACAAAATCTTCGAAAGTGGGAAACAATACTAGCCCATAGATGAGGAGAGCCAATACATTCACCAAAGCATCCCATTGTTTGTTCTTTAACATCTTAATTGCTTCTTTCTCTAGTACAATGCTTCTAAAGCCAAAGAAATCTTCTCTTTTCTTCCAACCAGCTTTGGCTATTGAAATCGATATTTTGAGAGCATCGGCCAATTCTTCCACTTCCGGAGCCTGCCCTATCATAGTATAAGGTGCCCTACCCTTGACCGGGAAACCTAGGAACCCCTCAAACTCTTCAATAGCAGGTGTCAAGTAGAAATCTTGAAATAGGAAGCTTCTCATTTGCGGATCATAAAATTGTGCCAAAGCCGTAATAGCAGGGACCTGTACTTCAATCATCAGCAGATCGGTCACCTGGCCAAACCTTCCTATCAAAGCCTTCTTGAAGATGGTAGGCATTTCTTTCAAACAGTTCATGACCACACTAACATCAGGTTTGAGTGCCTTAAGCTGAATAGTCTTTCTCTTTTCTGAACTTGCGGCCATTTTGTGAATGTATTTCAACCTGTCAATATAAATGCTTCCTTGAAAATAAAAACTAGTGTAAGTTATGATGCATATGTAAATGTTTATGAATGCAACAGTGCGGGATCCAGGCTATCACAAGTATCTCCCACCCTCCTAATAGGTATAAAGATAGTTTTAAATTCTTTACCCAAAATGACCCACTCAACGGGATAGTTTCTACGTGGACGGACGGGGTTCTCAAGGTCATAGATACCAATGATACCACCGTCACGCAACAGGCGAGCTGCATTACAACGGCAATACCAAAAGATCTCTCTTGAGAGGAGTCTTCATGTCAGGCTCACGAGAAGCAAGTCCTCGGGGACCAACACTACACGACTACCAATTTAGAAACTGGTTCTAAGAGCGGTTCCCAGAGTCATGGACCCTTCATGAATCAAATCGTGCAACAGGCTAGCTGCGTTACGATAAGATCTACGAAAAGGTCTATTCTGGAGAAGCTTTCATGCTAGGCACACAAGGAGTGAATCCTCGGGGACTAACATTACTCTACTACCGATTCTAAACTATGTTTTCTCTCTTCTTTTTCCAAAGCTCGGGTGTAGAGCTTTACTTGTGATATTTTCCCAGAATCCAACAAGCAAATGTAATATATTACACATAATAGTAAGAAAAAAAGTAATAAACAAACAAACAGGAGAATATAAGCACAAAGAAAAAACATAAGCACACAGAAATTGGTTAAGAAAAAGTCAACACTCTCAAATCGAGTCAAGTTAGGCTTGACTCTCTCTTGCATAGGGCAATGCGCAATCCCCAGCAGAGTCGTCATCTATCGTACCTCGAAAAATACGATCCTCGCGATGGACGCGGAAAATACTGTTCGAAACAGAGTCGCCACCGAACTTTATTTATTCCAAGACAGGAATAGGAAAATATCGATAAAACCTTTAGAGAGATAAGAACATGGTCGTCACAACCAATATTCTAGGTTCGGGAGTCGATTACATGAGGGGAAGGTATTAGCACCCCTCATGTCCGTTGTACTCAACGGGAACCTCTTGATCGATTCGAGAGTAAAATTAACTATGCTTGTTTGTTTTCTTCTAAGGTTTCTCCTATAGAGGGAATGGATGGTTATAGGATAGGGTGCTCGCCAAGGATTGGGGCCCTTGTGCCTACGTATCTTCACTTGTAAGAAGTGGAAAATTAGAGCATTCGTAGTTCGTGGGACTACGGGTAAAAGGAGGGATTGTGCTCGCCAAGATCATCGCAATCTTGTACCTACGTATTCTCATTGGTAAATGAGAAATCAGAGCAGCCGTAGTTCGGCTGCCTACGGTAAAAAGGTTTGGTATGTGAACGAGTGTTTAGGTCGCATTCTAACTGCTAAACGTTGGCTTGTCTGCTCGCTAGGGGAGGCTGAAGCACGAGTTTGTTATGCGCGGAAGAAGGGACTAAACAATGTTCTTTGGTAAAAGGTGATTTGGTTGGAAATCGCACGAGGGCGAGGAATCTGTGTTTATTGTATTGGATGTTTTGGTTTGAGAAAGAGGATAGATTTGAATAGGTTTAATGTTTCGATTGCACGGGGGCAAGAAAGAGGAGTTTGGTTAAGCAATTTGATGGAGAATGATGATTATTCGATAAACGAGACGTCAGCCTCGTAATCAATTAATCGGGGCATTATTGGAATGCTAGATTCCAACGACACATTTTTCATTCGAATAATTACGAAATATGTTTGAGAAAGTTTCAATCGCACGAGGGCGAGAGAAGAGAGTTAGATTGAATACATTAAGGAAGAATGACGACTACTCGATAAACAAGACGCCAGTCTCGCAATCGATTAATCGAGGTATAATTGGAATGCTAGATCCCAATGATACCTTTTTCACTCAATTAATTGTGAAAGTGTATTTAGATGCACAATTAAGGTATTTGTCAAAGTAACTAGGGCATGTATTTTATAGACGAAAGGTCGAGTAATTCACAACCTAAAGCGTACGCCCCAAGAGTGGTTACTCAAGAATTCAAGGAGTGCGAGACTCCAAGAACTCAGTTCTTTCATAGTTTAATTAAGAAAATAATTTGAATTTAACGTACAGTTTAAGAGCATACTAGGGTTTATACTCGATCGCACGAAGGTGGGGAACGAGATTAGACGGGTTGGAAATTTGGGAGGAATGACGACTACTCGATAAACGAGACGTCGGCCTCGTAACCAATTAGTCGGGATATCGTTGGAATGCTAGATCCCAACGACAATCTTTTTCATCCCATTAATTATGAAATATTGTTTGTTAGACAGTGAAAGTACTTGTCCAAATAATTAAAGGAGGTATTTTAGAAACGAAAATTCGAACGACACACCATTCAAGGCGTACGCCTCAATAGTAGTCACTCTCGAATTCGAGGAATGCGCGACTCCAAGAACTCGATTTTTCGTAAGTTAATTTAGGAAAATAAATTAGGAATATTAGCGTACTCGGACTAGGCGCGCTATGTATTCTAGAAAATAAGATCGAAAGGGTCACAACTCGAGGTGTGCACCTCGAGAGCGGTCGCTTAAAAAATTCAAGGAAGGCGAGATCCAAGGATTTAATTGTCTTAAAATTTGTTTGAGATAATTGTTTAATTTAATTAAGAAAAATAGTTTTATTTTTCACATAAAATAAATTAATCAATTGTAAAGAGTTTTGAGAAAAATCAATCATAACTAATTGTTTTGAAGAAAAAGTTTAATATCTTAGAAAATGATTTTAACTTTAATTAATAAAATATAATTAAAGGTTTAATATTTAAAATATTTATTTGATAATAAATTTGAGACTTATATTATATTTTTTACTTAAAAATAATAATAATTTGAAATTGTCTTATAAAAATATTTAATCAAAAATGACTAAAAAAACCGAAAGTTGGAACAACCACAACTCAAGAGCGTGCGCCTCGAGAGCGGTTGTCCAAGGGTTCAAGGAGTGCTAGACTCCGAGAATCCACCACTTTCGTTAAATTCGAAAAAAAAGATTTTTATTTATTCTAAACAAATAAAATGTTTCAAATTTTAATAAAAGGAAGATAAGAAGCAAGTTGATAAAATTCTAAAACAATTTAAGTAAAGCCATATAGCAAATATTAGTTATTAATTTATAAATGAAAATCTAACAAAAATAAAACTAATAATTAACTAATAATATAATATTACTTATGATATCGTTAATAATATACTATATGTAATTATTTTCTAAAGTGTGATCCTATTAAATCCCTCTAAGTCTTAATTAAATTAAACAACACCATTATAATCACTAAATATGCATTATAATAATTACTATTGCAAGTGATGTTGGGTACACAAAACATAAGAAACCCAATCTAGAACAGATCAGTAAAAAAAAAAACTATGCTGGCCTTAATGAAAACCAAAACTGGGCCAAAATCCAAAAGGCCCTCTTGACCCCAACAGCCAGCCAAGACTAGAAGGTGGAAAGACCAGCTGGACCGTTTTCCAGGCGGTGTGGTATAGGAAATACCCCCAGTGGGACGCGTGTTCTAAAGATAGCACATTGAGCTCTTAAATAAAATTAATGACAATAATCCAAACGCTAAACAATAAACTCACTCATGTTAATATTCCAAGACTTCCCTAACCCTCTTCCTTCCTCAGAATCAAAACGAATCTCTCCCTCTCTCTGACCATTCCCTCTCGCTTCAACAACAAAACCGAAGAAAGGCGGCGGCCGATGACGACACTACCATTTTCTCTGGTGGTTCAACACCATTTTTTCTTCTCTCTGAAACTCAACCTCAAATCGATTCGCAAGTCCCTAACCCCAACTCAAATCCAACAGGCAAACTCAAAAAAAATCAAAGCATAGAAAACATATCGAAGCAGATAAGTCATGGTGTTTAAACGAAGACGAACGAAAATCAAGTGAAGAAAAAAAAACGGAACTCACCAGCTTGGAGCTATTCTGACGGCGTATCCGCAAAGTAAGTGGTCCGTGCTTTATCTTTTCCTCTTTTCTTCTTCTTGATGTGCGTTCTGCTTGCTCGCGTTTCTGGATTCGAGTGATGTGGCTGAGTTCAAGTTGGTTAGAGCTTCAATGTGAAGCTCTATCAACCTTTAGAAAGAAATTTGGAGTCATTTAGGTATTTTGTGGGTTGAATTTCGCAGGGCTTCTCCAGGGTTTTTTTTTCTCCCCTCTGCAGAATGATTGGGGGTTAATTTATAGGGGGTTTTTTAGGGTTTCTGATGTGTGAGGAATTTGAAATTTTCTGAAGGAAAACGTTTGGTATCGTGTGAGGTGAGGTGCGTTTTGCTCGTACGATTCTGTTAGAGTGCTACACCATGATTTCTGCTTTTTCTGAGGCTTGATAGTGACCTTTGTTTTTTTTGTCTGTAGTGAGCTAAAATATCTGTTTTTTTTCTTTTAAAACGAGTTTTTACTTGTGTTAAAATGTAGTTCATAAACTTTTTACCATGCTGATGTGGTAGTATTTGGTTGACTTGCATCATCTCTGACTATTTAAACTTTATGAAAAACTTTGAGTTTTGCTGACAAACCATGAATGTATTCCTTGATGCCTCTGCCTGCCTTAATTCTTTGATTATCATGTCATCTTGTTCACTCTATTAAGATGCTTTATTTTCTTGTAGTTTGAAGGTGCTAAGCTTTGCACAAGGGGAAAATGCAATGCTGGTTTCTTGAATAAATTGTTGTTTAAGGAATCATGGCAGGATGAGAGTTTGATTATGAGCAATATTTGGTGACTTGTAGATTCAAAGTTAACATGACCTATTAGTTTCATACTCACTTTAAATGAGTTGCAAAACATTCCAAGCATCTCAGGTAAACTTTCAGTTTGTAAGCAATCTCATCTAGTTAACAATTTGTAGCCTTCTATCATACTCACTGATGGCTAGTCTTATTAACTATTCATGCTGACCAGTTTCCACTTATCTCTTTGTGTTGCATGAGCTTGACATGGGAGTGGAGAACCCACCTTATCTC